TATATATATATATATATATATATATATATATATATAGAGAGAGAGAGAGAGAGAGAGAGAGAGAAAGAACAAAAGACACTCCATGCATCCTTTTTTCCATATATTTTCAAACTATACAATTCATCACACACATTTTTTGAGATCTTTTAAACAGTTGGAGGGCAACGGCGATGTTCTCGATCCATAGTAAACAACAATGGTTTCTTATGGATGTGATTCGGTTTTTGAGGTTTTAGGTAGAAGACCCTTTTTCCCATGTCAAGATTTTCACTAGCCTTTCATCTGAACGGCTCAATTTATAACTATTGTGGTTAGACCCGTGGTTGCGAATCTTGGGCGCCAATAGTATTCTTTGGCATATAAAAGGGTCTTGGAGAGTCGATTGAAATAATTGTAGGAGGGATTATCTCAAAGGCTTTGACACCTTCAACATATGTTCCTATACACATTGTGTCCCCTCTACCATGCCAAGTCCCATCTTGAACATTGTTCATTTCCAATGTCCTTGATTCCTAATCAAGATATAACACAAATATAAAAAGATTCATTTTAGTATTTTTCATATGGGTTAAATCTATAATGTGCATTTATTCAAGACAATGTTTCATATTTTCCCCAATATTGTCACAAAATGAAACGTTTGTATAAAAAACAACTTTGTTGCATAATGACGAAATTAACCTACAAAATTGGGACCCACAAAATAAAGATGAGCAGAAAACAAACCTGAGCCAAGGTGCAACAAGGGCAAATGAGATGGGATACACAATCATCTAAAGAACCATCACTACCCTGAAGAAAGAAAACAGATGTATGAATCAATGTTGCAAGATTAGGAACATTCGAGTATACCCTTTGACTTTTGAAGTCAAAGCTAGTTGATTTCAGATGCAAAATTGTGAAAACTTATTTAAAATGTGAACCCCAATGTTCAACTTGTTTGTGTTGCTTGCTATAAAGTTGGACTAGAAAATCCAGTATTTCAAAAAAAAAATTGTGGATCCTAAAAAATTTGAAGCTGAAATGTAACCTACTTGACCTATAAAGTCAAACGGTACCTCAATTTTTAAGAAAATTGATGCATGAATTAATGTTGCGAGATTTGAAACACTCGAGTATGCATTTTGACTTTTAAAGTCAAACCAAGTTCATTATTGGTTGTAAAATTGTAAGGTTTCATTAGAAGTTTAATACAAACATAAATGTGTTATAAAGTTTGACTATACTTATTCCATATTCCAAAAAAAGAATCATAGACTTGCTTGTTTGACTTACAAAGTCAAAGTGCATCTTGTTTAAACTCAAACATGGAATGTTGAAATGTGAAATCATACGATTTTCTCATAAGATTTAAACGAATGCATCGGTTTCTTTGGAAATAATATTCCACACTTCAAAAAAAGATCGTAGATCATATCAAAATCAAAGTCAAAATATAGCCTATTTGACCTATAAAGTCAAAAAATATACCTTGATATTGAACTTGTTTCTCATTTTGGAGCGATAAAATCCCATATAAGTTCCTAGGGAGAGTGCAAGAAAGACCCCAAGATACAAGAAACAATGCTTCTTTGTAACTGCAAATGCTACAATGTTGCAAAGAGCAATTCCAGCTAGGATTGCATACATGAATCCCTGTGGGACCCATTGCAAGAATATATTAGAAATTCAACATATGCATAATGTATTTTTGTGGTGAAAAACTAGTTTAATTATAGTAGAATGGAGGATATATGTGTTTTACCTGAAGAAAGCAAGAACCGAAACCAGCAAGTCTCATGTTTTCTCCAAATCGATACCATGGGCAACTGCAAAATAAAGCATTTGTAGGTTTTATTAGATTATATCTCCTTGAATATTAAGCTTTAAACTGTACAAAAGATTGGTAATTATCGTTTTTATAAACAAAATAATGAAGCTTTGTTCATTACTAACATCTTTAAAAGAAACTAGGGTTGACTTTTTAAAGTCAAAACAGGATGTTCTTCCAAAGACTTACTTCTACCATCTAACAGTAAATTGGAATCAGGATTTTTTTTTTTTCAAAAAATGTCTTACAAAAGTCATATGGATGATTTTGCTCACATCATATCTTTATTTATACCATTCGTTATATACGGGTTTCTTGCAAAAATCATATCTTTCTTTCTACCATTTTAGCTCAAGATATAAATCAATTTATATTGATGAGTTTGCTCAAAACCCTAAATATTACCATTGATCATCGTTTTTACAGCAATATAATCAAATTTTCATTTGTCACTAACCTTTTCTTGAAAAAACTATATTTTGACTGTTAAAAGTCAAACGGGAAGTTCTTACAAGCTATCATCAAACAAAATATTTGAATCTTTTTCGAAAGGTTTCTTGCAAAAATTAAGAATACAGAGACATTAAAGCAATCATCAAGCACAAGTATTTAATTTTATTTTTTCAACGGGTTTCTTAAAAAAAGGGAGAGATAAACTTACAAGGATGATTGAAGAACCAATCTACGATCATCATAACAATCAAGAAGATCGCCTTCCCACATCCTGAAAACACCTCCTCCAAATTCTCCCCCGTCTTCTTCGTAATTCTCTTCCAATTTATTCCATTTCCCCTGATTCGTCTTCATCGCTACCGTCGAACATAATATATCAAAATCCAACACCGGCACCCGCTCAATCAATCGCTCTTTCTCCTCCTCCTCAACCACCATCGCCACCGCCGCACCAACCTGTTTCTCAGAATCCGCCATCATCTCTCTCTCTCTCTCCCTCTGCCTACTCTGTATATACAATCCTTCAAGGTTTTTGCTTATTCCAAAAGCCCTAAATACACATTTGTATGTACAACTTGCAGAGAGAGAGAGAGAGAGAGAGAGAGAGAGAGAGAGAGAAAGCGAGATTGAGTGGATAATTGATTATTTGTTTCTTAATGAAAATGACTTGTGTTTCGCGATTATTTGTGGAAGAGGGTTTGTGGGGACGGGTGATAATGATTGGAAACAGCTGGTGACACGTAAGAATGGTGGTTATCCAAGTCCAAATCAATGGAAAATGGTTTTACTCACCTTCCATTTATAGGAGGTTTAATTTTGGAATTTAGGGTTCTTGAGACCTCTGTCAATGACCACAGTGTTCGTTGACCCGAAAAACATCCCTTTTCTTGATTTTGACCGCATTTTAAATAACCCGAAAAAGGTTAGAACCAAAGAACGTTTGTCAAGAACATAACCACAATCTATTCATGAAAAGTTAATTAAATTGAAATTATATTTTCTAGATTAAATGGATGTGTGGGCTATATTTTTTCTTTCTTAGTATAAATATAAAGTAGCGGACATTGTCCTAACTGTTTATATGGGTGAAATATAACGCCCTTCTGTTTATATAGGTGAAATGTCTTAACTGTTTATATGAGTGAAATATAACGCCCGTTTACATGGGTGAAATATAAGGGAAAATCCAGACATTAGTTGGTCTCGTGTGTTTGTAAATCCTTTTGTTGTAATCAACTTCTATCATCTTGCTGGGGTTTCTCATTTTATTTTAAATATATACTCTATTTGTCGTTTATATATATATATATATATATATATATATATATATATATATATATATATATATATATATATATA